CTTTATTTGAGCACCTTGGAAAGAATCTCCTGCTGTCTTCTGCTTTTCCTTCTTAACCCTGGGGGTTTGGCTAAGTGTCCGCCCCCTTCATAGGCACAGTGTCGTTTAGTGAGTGTTGTAGCACGGTGAGTGACGGTGGGGCCTTCTAGAATCAGACTGGCTGGGTCTTTGGTTTGCTGGCTAGTTAAACTTCTGTGCCTCGGTTTCTTCTTGTGTTGGATGCGTTAATGACAGTATTGGTGCAGCCTTGAGGCTGGTGAAGGGAGTTTAGAGCTCCAACACTGTTCTCCACAGTAGCCGACTGTTTTAACGTTCTTGTGGGCAATTATTTTTTCTTTCTGATTTTAAGAATTATATACTTATGTTTTAAAGATTGATGTGTCCGTATGTGCACTGTATGTGTCTAGATACCCTGTGGATGTAGGTACCTGTGTAGCCAGAAAGGATGTCAGGTCCCTTGGAATTGGAGTTATAGGTGGTTGGTGAGTTGCTTAATGTGGGTGCTGGGAACTGAACCCCAGTCCTCTGCAAGAACTTTAAGTACTCTTAATCCCCGAGCCATCTCACCAGCAACCCCCTTTTAAACTGTGTGTGTGTGTGTGTGTGTGTGTGTGTGTGTGTGTGCGTGTGTGTGTGTGTGCTCGAGAACATTTGGAGGCCAGTGAGGTCACTGGCTCTCCTTGGACCTGGAGTTGCAGGCAGTTGGGAGCCATTAGGCATGGATGCTGGGCACAGAACTTCTGGTCCTCTGGAAGAGATTTTGAACAACCTCCCCAGCCCCTCTCCTGGTGCTTTCTGAATTCCCTGATTACTGGGGATTGATGTCTGTAGGTGTGAGATTCCTTTAATTTTCCTGTTTGAACTCCACAGGACTTTTTAAACCTGTGAATTGTTGTCTTTCATCCGTTCTGGAAAAACTCTTCGCTGTGTACCTTCAAGTGTTGCTTCCACCAGATTTTCTTCCCTCTCTCCTAATTAGTTAGATTAATTAGTCCCGCTCACTCCTATCATTTGCATCTTCTTGACTTTGCTCCACAGTCTCTGCGCTATGACTATTCTGGATAATTTCTTGAAATCTATCTCCCAGCTCATTAATTGGCTTCAGCTGTGTCTAATATGCTATTAAACCTATACCCTGAGTTTTTAATTTTAATTATGTTTTTATTTCCAGAAATTGTGTTTGGTTCCCTACGGAATCTGATTGTTTTCATCTTTTCCCTTTTGCTCTTCTCTTGCTTTAACAATATTATACACCCATCCTGTTCTGTTTCCGTCTGCTGCATTGAGAGACCAAGCCTCGTGGGACTCGTGGAAGGGACCCCTGAGTCCAGAGACCAGCCAGAGGCTTTCAACTATGAAGGAAAGCCTGGCCTAATACCTCTGCTGCCTCCCCGCACCCAGGTCCCTTTTTCTCAACTATTTTTTTTTAAGGCTGATTCATCTCATGGTTTGAAAAAGAAACCAAGGGCAGAGTCTCTCTCCCCACACCCAGTGCCTTTTCCGCCAGCAGCCAGGACTATTAGGATCTGCAGAGACTTCCAGATATATTTTATGTGTAGTCAAGCAAATACACATTTAAAAATTCATTCTCTCTGGAACGCAAACGGTGGCATGCTACGTATATTGTTCTGCACTTGCTTTTTAATAAAAAATATGTTTCTGGTTATGAGAGAAATACGTGCTCATTTTGAATAACATCAATTCCCAAGTGTTCACATGTAGAAAGTGAAAGTCTCCCTGGAATTCATTCTCTGGAGATAACATCTATTTTGCATCTATAAATATATATTTACATAAATGGGCTTATGCAACAGACACTGTTTTCTAACCTATTTTCCCCCCTTTTCTCCCAATAACACATCACGACATCATTCCATGAATCTTTCCACAGCTCCACGTTGCCCCACAGTGTAGGGCAGGGCCTGCGGAATCAGGGAGAATTAAGTTCCAGCACTAACTGCCCAGCTCAGTAAGTAGCGTAGGACTTTTTACAGCTGGTCGAAGCCTCGGTTTCCTCCTCTGTGAGGTGGTATCAGAGCGTATCACTCCTCGCGGTCTGGGGCAACAAGTGAGTCCTTGCAGGGGGCCCCCTCCAGGCCCCCAGGAGCACAATTTTTAAACAGCTCCCTCCCCTGTTCAGTGATCACACAGAGCTTACAGTCTGGATGCAACATAAGTACTAGCAGTGCCCCCATAAGAAGTGCCAGCCCGGCCAACCGCCATTCCTGTGAATTCTCGGGGGTGGGGGGTTCATGGTCCTCTGGGTTCTAATTTCTATGCTCTCTTTATTTTTTTTCTTTAAGGAAGCGTTGAGAGTCCCCTGCGGAGTGAAGCTCGTGTACTACGTAGGTCCTTTCCCATCATCACCACCCTGCATCCTCCTTCCCTCTGGGATGGGAGTGGCCTGTCCCCCTCAGCAGAGGCTCTGAGCCCTCTCCCCCGACCCTCCCCTTACCTCAGTGATGTCGAAGCTTAGACTTCGGTTTCTCTCCAACCTTTCAGCCCAACTCACACACACACACACACACGTGTGCATACAAATGCATGCATGCATGCATGCACATACACACACATGCTTCCAACACAATTCTCGTGATTTGTAACATACTAAAAAGATTTAAAATGCACTTTTTAAAGAGACAAAAGTCCAAAGGAAGCAAGGAAAGGAGGAAGCATTGACTGTCTTGTACAACAACCCACTCACCCTCTATCTACCACCAATCCTGAGAAGGCACACTTCTAGGTGCCAAAGAATCTCTGTTTCCTGGGAGTAGTGGTAAAAAGGGACCAATATGTCAGGCACTCTGTGTAGTCCTGACTGTCCTGGAACTCACTCTGTAGATCAGGCTGGCCTTGAACTCACAGATACTTGCCTGCCTCTTCCTCTCGAGTGCTGGGATTAAAGGCGTGGGCCACCACTGCCTGGCTACTCACCACTTTAAATAGCCATGAAGAGATTCCTCTCAGGGACAATACATAGGTGGTAGTGGCTTTAGTTTTACAGTGAGTCTCTGATAGAGGCACGGGAGATCTTTGAGCAGGAAGAGGTGGAGTCAGGATAGGTGTGTCCTTTCTGATGGAGGGTCAGGAGGAGGGTGACCAGGGTCCTAATGTAGTGCCTGTTGGTTCTGAACGGGGCTGGGAAGTTAGGGGGAGGTGAAGAGAGTCAGTGCAGGGACAGATGGCTTTTTCTGGAACAGAGGCTGGCCAGACAGCAGACACTTAGCGAGCCCTACTGTATCCCAGGTCTTTGTGGACTTTGGGGGTGTAGTAGCACTGACTCTGTCTTATGAAGGTCACTGGCTAGTGGAGGCCAGTGGCAATAAACAACCGAAGCCAGGGCAGGGACTATTTTGGTCAGAGCATTGACGGACTCTGTCCCTGCAGGTCTGCTCTGGGCCGGTGATCCAGCTCCTGGGAGCCTTCAACAACAGCCAGCCAGGGGGGCAGCTTGAAACTCTGGAGGACTTGGCGGTCAGCTCAGCCAGGAGGCAGAGGAGGCCCATGGCTTCCCACTCTGCCAGTTGTCAGGTACAGAACTAGCTAGGGTCTAGTGATTAATCTTGCCTCCATGGCTACCTTCCACATGATGTCGCTGAGGCCCAGGATGGGGTGACTTGGCTGAGGTCTCACAGATTAGTGTTTCGAGGTAGGTTAGCCCCACTTGGCTGCTGGCCTGGGCTCTGTGGGAGTTTGGGGACATAGGGATCTGGGTTTCCATTGTGTCTGGAAAGGCTCTAATGTGATCTTGGCTGACCCCACAAGTCCTGCTGCACCAGGGTTCCCAGCCATCTATTGGATATAGGACCAGAGAGTGCCTCCTTCATTCCAAAGCTCCTTAGGGATCTCTCCGTAGAGGCTGAGGGGCCATGAGTAAGTGCAGCTCCTGTGGGGCACAAGGCAGCTTTGGCTGGAGTGGACTTCTCCACTACGCTTCTCTCTCTCCATAGTGTGACCTCCCAGAAATGGAGAATGAGGAACCTCTTCAGCCGGGGACCGAGGACGCAGGTGATGGTCCACGGAGCTTGTGGGAGGATGCTCATCCCGACTCCTGTCACTATCAGCCCAAAGTTCTCCCCCCAAAGAACTGGGATCCTAGGTCCTTGAGGGGAATCTAAGCCCCCTAAAGTCTGCCCCTCCTCATGCTTCTTGAAGTCTCTGGGATCACATGACACATTCCCCTACCCCAGGTGAGCAGGAGACTATGCCTCTGGATGTTGGAGTGCGAGCCACCGTGGTCCGTACAATGCAGGAGGTGTTATGGACTCGGTAAGGCTCTGCTCCCTACCTCCCAGCTGTGCTGACAGCTGTTCTGTGTAACTCTGGGCAGGGCCACATTTGAGTGTGTGTGTGTGTGTGTGCGTGTGTGTGTGTGTGTGTGTGTGTGTGTGTGTGAAAACACATTTGGTACCGGGAGGTCACTGACTCACACAGCTAGTGGCGAGCTGAAATGTGAACCATGTGTCTGTAAGCAGTGAGCCTCTGGGCTGGGAGGGTCTAAAGGTCTGAGCCCTTTGAGGTCCTCACGCACAGATGGCAAGAGCAAGCACAGAGAGGGCAGGAACTGGCAAAGGCTACACAGCAACTCAGTAGTAGATCAGGGTTATGTCTGTCCATCCCTTGGTCCCTTGGTTGGTGTTTCATTGTTCCCACCCCAGTTGGGTTCTTTGCTTTGGTTGATTCCTTAACCCCCAACCTCAGGCTTAATCCTTTCCACACAGACCCAGCTCCTCTAGCAGGACCCAGGAGCCTGGCTTTGACACATGTATTCTCACTGGTCCATTGTGTAGCCTTAGGATGAGCCCTGAACTCTGAGTGCTCTCTATGTAAATGGAAGATACACCATTTCTTTCCAGGGCTGGGGTGGGAGTTACCGGGTCCATGGGGAAATACCCACAGTAGAGAGGAGGTAGACCAGCCCCTGTCCCCTACCCCTGCATTTCCTCCTGGGGTTAAATGAGTGGACAGGTTCCCTGCTAAAGGCTTGCTTGTCTTCATAGTGTCCAGGAGCTTCCAGACCTGCTGCTGAGGGAAGAGGAGGTAGCAGGCATTGCGGAGGACATTGAGGCGGCCCTCTTCCACCTGACCCAGGACACCAACCTCCGCTACAAGACCAAGTACCGCAGCCTGCTCTTCAACCTGAAAGATCCTCGAAACTCCGTGAGCTGGGGGAGGTGCAGCCTGCCCAGTCCTCCCTTGGGGACACCACGAGTAGTGGGTTGGAGTGGGTGCTTTCAGGGTGAAATGGTGCATTTTCTTCCCCAACAGGACCTGTTTCTCAAAGTGGCGCACTGTGATGTCAGCCCTCATGACCTGGTGCAGATGAGTTCAATCCAGCTGGCCCCCAAGGAGCTGTCCCGCTGGCGGGACCAGGAGGAAAGAAGGGTGAGCTGCCGCACAGATGAGCCAGAGAGGTGGGAGGGCCCTGTTGGGGGTGGCCCTGCAGTGGAAGGTGGGAACAGAGGGAGCAGGACAGACGGAAGGACAGTCAGGATTGAGAAGAAGCTGGAGGAAACAGAAAGCAGGCCGGAGGGAGAGTCTTCAGGATAAAGGTAGGAAAAGAGGCCACACTCGTGTTTCTCTGTGGAGTTGGGTTGTATGGGGGTGGGAGGACTTTCGTGAGGAAGTTGCCAGTGGTCTTCTTTCCATCCTAACCTCAGGTTTGGGAGAGGGGGTCCCACAGCTCCACCCTCCTCCGTTAAATCCTCCTGTACCCTGCCTGGCCCATGATCTCACCCTACATGGAACACTGGAAGCAGAAAAGATAGGGCATTGAGCTGGCTTTTGGCCTGCTGCGTGTTAGCCAGAGGCTGACCAGACTGGTCCAGAGTTGAGGTGCTGAGGAGGAAAGTGATTCCATTTTCTCAGCTAAGTTTCTGTTCAGCTCTGGTGGTGTCATAGGATGGGAACAGCTGTGTGGTTTGAGGTCAGCGAGGCCTCTGTGAAACAACCATGAAGAACTCCAGGGTGAGTGGGGCGGTGGTGGAGCGCCTTTAATTTCAGCATTCGGGAGGCAGAGGCAGGAGAATCTCACTGAGTTCGAGACCAGCCTGGTCTACAGAGCGAGTTCCAGGACCATCAGGGCTACATAGAGAAACCCTGTCTGGAAAAACCAAACCAAACCAAATCAAACCAAAATAATTCCAGGGTGGGGAGCTGGGAAGGGAGCTCAGCCAGCGGAGTGCTTGCCACACATGCATGAAGCCCCGAGTTCGAGCTCCAGTATTCATGTAAAAAATCCAGCATGGCGGCATGCATTTGTAATCCCAGTGTTGGCTGGGGAGGTGGAGATGGACGGATCCTGGGACTTGCTAGCAAGCCTCGCCTAGAGAGACCTTGTCTCAAAAAACAAGGCGGATGGCTCCTGAGGAAGGACATCAAAGATAATCTCTGGCTTCCATGGGCGCATGTACACACGTCCACATGCATCCAGCCATCCGCTAACATGCATGCCCACATGTGAAGAATTTTAAGGTAACGAACACAGAGCCTGAATCAAGAGGGGGCCTTTTTGGGTACAGGGCTCATGTTGTCATGGAGCCCACCTGCCTGGGTGTGGAGGTGCAGGACCCCCATCTTCCTGCGCCATTAGGAAAGGAGAGACAGGCCTCCAGTTCAGGTGACACCGATAACAACAGTGGCAGCCAGCTAGGGGTGACTGTGAGCCTTGGACTAGGCTGGGCCTTCTCCGTGTGCTGTTTAATACTGTGTTCTTAATCCCCAGAGAATAGATAAACTGAACTTTAGGGAAACTAAATGGTGGCCCAAAGTCAAACTAATCCTTACATCTTTATTAGTGGCCCATCTGGGACTCAGTTTGTTCCAGACACCACAGCCTCCTCAGGGTGGAGGTGGGTGGGGCATCCAGAGGCATTAATTGACTTGGGTGAAGACTTCCTAGAGGAGGCGGGACTTCAGTGAGTGGCACCTGGAGGGGTGGGGCTGAGGGGCAGACTTTCTCGGTGTACAGAGCCAGGCTTGAAAAGGAGGGGAGCTGCCAAGGGAGGAACCTTGAAGCGGGGAAGGGAGTGACTGGGAGCTCGGTGGGCCGATGCCCTGGCTGAGTTTGCCATGCCCTCTGCAGGGCCTGGACATCATTGAGCAACAACAGAAGGAGCTGTATAGACTTCCCACCTCCAAGCTGACTCACAAGGGTGAGGTAGAGATCCCACGGGACTCAGACCAGATGCTGACCCTGGAGGACCTGATGGTAAGGGACAACCTGACTTAGGCACAGGTACCCCACTCCTGTGGGTCCCTGAGCAAGATCACTGCTTACTCCATGGACCCCATGTTCTAGGTTTAGTAGGGTCTGTGACCCTGGCTGTTCATGCTCAAAGCATGAGAATGGGTGGTGGCAATCGGCCTGGGGCTAGTCTCCCTTCTTTTCACCTAACTCCAGAACACTTGCAGGAGGGGCACTAAGGCTGGTCATTGCAGTCACCCGAACCCCAGCCATTCTGACTTCAGGCAGTGACTTTTCTAGATGTGAAAGATAGAGACTTGTTTTATTCGTGGGTTTATTTGCTTGGAGTTGCCACAGGCAGGGAATGACCCCACACCCTGGGCAGTCTAGACAGAGGACCTTCTCACCTTGTCCTTGTACCTGGAGGAGGCCTAACATCTATGCCTCTCATTGATGGGTCAACTTCATTCCCTGGCGCATCCTTTACCATTCCACAGCGGAGCCCCTCCATTTTGCCCAGAGCCTGTTAGTATAGTACCTTCTCTGCTCCAGAAAGCTTGGTTAGCGGGCATCTCAATGTTCTGTGACCTTTGCCTTACATTCATCACCCTCAGAAGGCCACTCTGGCTTGGCTGGGGTCTCCATAGATTAGTTATCTCCTGGTTGTGTGTGTTTCTGATCAGGAGACTGGCAGAAGGCAGGCAAATCCCTTCGCTTGTATTCATTTCCTCAATACAGAGTTGTTAAAACCCCTCTTGGGTGCTAGGCCTTGGGGGGACATGGCAGAGGGCATGACAAGACAAAATAGAGGCCCCCCACTTTGCACTCCCCCCCCCCCACGCCTCATATCCAGGCCAAGAAGAATGAGTGCCCGTGCAGAGAGGAGCCCTCCGGGGGAGCAGCTGCTCCCCAGCCCACCCCAAGTCACATTCCCTCAAGAGGCTGAGTGTCTCTTGGAGACACTGGAGAGGGACTGGAGCCATGCAGAGAAGAGCTTCAGGGGAAGGGAGAGAGAGGAGATGGCGGAGGAGAAGGGGAAGGTGACAGAGAAGAGCAATCTTTACTCCATATTGAGTACCTGCCATGTGCCCCTCTTACAAACGGCACCTCATTTGAGCACGACAATCACTGACACAGTCCGTGCCTTTCTGAAACCCGAGCCATTGACTAAGCTTAGTGTAGTGGGCAGGAGTGGAGCGGAGATGTGAACCTGGCAACATTTCGAGGATCCCTCCAAAACCTCTGAATGCAGCCTGCGTCTGTACTGAAAAGGATTTCTATTACGAGGGGAACAGTGATTCAAAGGTTTGCTCCTCTGGGTTCTGTCACCTGCTTCTGAGAACTTGACCTAAGGAAAGGATGCAGAATTTTGGGAAGCACTTTGTGCGTGAAGACAGACGCTTTCAGGGCTCCCGATTGGTGACTGGCAGTGCAGGTGACAGTCTGCCCCACAGTCTGTCCACAGGGTCTAGAGAAGGGGGCAAATGTCTCTATTGCAATTAATGGGCAAAATGAGAGAACAAAGAATGCTTGACCCCAGCTATTATAGAAAGGACCTCCAGACTGTCTGCGTAGAAAAACTATGATAAGGAGTGCCCGGCATCTCAACAGTTGTCTGAACAGGACAGGGTTTCTCTGTGTAGCCCTAGCTGTCCTGGAACTAGATTTGTAGACCAGGGTGGTCTCGAACTCACAGAATTCCACCTGCCTCTGCCTTTCAAGTGATAGGATTAAAGTTGTGCTCCACCACCGCCTGGCAGTTTTTCAGTTTTTTGATTTCCCAAGTTTTCTTTACGAATTTCCAGTGTCTTAGAATATTAAAAAAGCATATTTAGAAAAATAAACCACATATTCCTGAAGCTCTCTACCTGTAGAGGACTGCTGGCCTCCCTGGCTACATTGCCATCTGTCCCTCTCTGGCCCCATGCTTTCCAGGAACCCATGATGGCACGAGAGTACAGCCCACCGGCCCTGACGACCCTACTGGAGGACACTACAGATCAACATCAGCACCACTTCTGGGACTCAAACTGCCACATCTGCAAGGGCGGGAAGGAAGGCAGGAGGGGCATCAATAGTAGCTGTCTGGAGCCACATGTGGGCGTCAGCCACAGCATGGGTGGGTAGCCCAGTTCACAGGAGGCAGAATGGGGTTGCCTGTGCTACAGGTCACCTTGGCATGAAGCTGGCTCATCTTGGCTGTCAGGCTGTGGGCTGTTTTCTGTCTCTGCCTGCTCACAGCAATTGTTGCTTCTGCAGATTGGAAATCCTCAACTAAACTGCCAGACTCCTCCAGAGCCATCATGAATAAGGAGGAAAATGCCATCCAGAACGCCCCAAGTCTAGCTCCTGTGTCCTCTCCAGAGATGCTCAAGGCTGGGGAGACATCTTCCAAGGAACCACAGGATGGGTAGGGGACTGGGAACCTTCAGGGCTCTGTGCTAGTGACAGGGGAGGTGAGCGGCTCAGCAGCATGGGTGGGAGAGGCCACCAGCTGAAGCAATAACATATACACGCTGCAGGAGCTTTCTTCCTTCATGACCTTAAGTCTTCCGGGGTCCGTGAGCCTCTGTTTTTCTATCTGCTTCTATCTAGGAACTCATGTGGTCTCCTGGCTCCCTCAGCACAAGGCTCAGTGCATAGGTCTCCGCAGTGAGAATGTAGTACTGACTCTGCAGAGGAAGGGGTGCTGGGGACATCCTGATGAATGACTCTGCTGGTCCCTGCCCTGTCCCTCCTTCTAGGCTCCAGATACCTGCTGAGCCCAAAGATGTTCCTCCCAGCCCTCCGCCCTGGGAAGGCTCACTAGATATGTTCTCTATCAAGCCATTCTGGGCCAAGGCTCAGCTGATTTCAGGACACAGTTGCCAGCTTCTCCAGGTACTCCACTTCTGCTTACAAAGGACCCCCTCACACACCGCTCAGCCCCGTTGGTAATTCATCCATCGCTTCTACAGATCACCAGTGAGCTATGGGCTAGCTCTTCATGAGGGCGTCGACACACTGAATGTGATAGCTCTCTCACCCTCAAGGCCTAAGGCAAGGGGGGCTCTGGGAGAGCATCCTGGAGCCCCTCAGGTCGCAAGAGGGTTTCAGAGTGATGGTTGAATAACTGACTGATTAACAGTGAGGGAGGGCCTTTTAGACTTTGGCCAGGACAACCTGTAGGTCTTCAGGGGCCGTAGAGCTCTCTGGGAGAGTCCCTGAGGGTTCAGATACTTTGTCTACACTTCTCATCAGGCTTTGCTTGAGGTAATGGGAAATAAAACTGCCTAAAAGGGTGGGAAGCTGGGTGCTGACCGACCACCTGCCCCCAGGCTTTGCCGGAGGTCATTCGCTCAGCAGGCTGCCTCCCTCCAAATGACCTTTGGAATCTTCTGGACAGCATGTGCGCAGCCAAAGCAAAGGTAACCTATCTGCTCTTAGGAACCCTCTCTTTTTGCCTCTCCTTCTTAGCTCCTTCCTCCCCTCCCCTCCAGTTCCCAGACTCACTAGTGACCCTGTGCAAGTTCCCCCCTCTCTGGCTTCTTCCTAGAGCAGTGGTTCTCAACCTGTGGGTTGCCACCGCCAGGGAGGCCGCATATGAGATATCCTGCATAATCAGATGTTTACATTCTGATTCATAGCAGTTGCAAAACTCACAGCTATGAAGTAGCAACAGAAATAATCTTATGGGACTGGAGAGATGGCTCGGAGATTAAGAACACTGGCTGCTCTTCCAGAGGTCCTGAGTTCAGTTCCCAGCAACCACTTGGTGGCTCACAACCCTCTGTAATGAGATCTGGTGCCCTCTTCTGGCCTGCAGGCACACATACAGACAAAGCACTGTATACATAATAAATAAATACATAAATAAACCTTTTTTTAAAAAAAAATAATTTTATGGCTGGAGGGCGGTCACCACAACATGAGGAACTGTATTAAAGGGTCTCAGTTTTAGGAAGGTTGAGAACCGTTGTCCTGTTGAGTCTAAGTATGCCTGCAGGCCAAGAGGATGAGGTCTTCTTTGCCACTTCCTTTTGTATCCCAGGATATTTGCGTGGCCAGACTCTGTCCCCATGGGTCTCAGGACATCCACAACTACCGCGTGCTCTACTCCTACCTCAACAACAAACAACGCCACTGCCTGGCGACTGTGCAGCATGTGAAGATGGTCCTACTACCTCTGCCCGCCTTTCAGCCTCTGCCAGCCAGACTGCGCCCTCTAGGGGGCCCAGGTGAGAACTGAGTATACACCCGAATAGGGCTACAGAGCAGCCAGGCTTGACCCAGGTTTAGCAGGACAGAGGCAGATGCAGACAAAGCCGGGAGGAATAGGTGTGACTCTGCAGCCGCATTAGCCAGGCCTGGCTTCAGGGCAAGGATCAGTCTAGACGTGGCCCTAGGAAAGCACCTATGGAAGAGGACTCTAGGGACTCAGAACAGCTTTAACACCTTTCTGAGCTGCAATTCCCAGTATTGGAGGCAGAATGACATAGTCTCCATGAGGCGGTTCTGGGCAAAAGCCCAGCTTGTCTTGGGACATAGTTGCCAGCTAGTCCAGGTACACCTTCTGCGTTCGCAAGGTCTCCCCCTATGATACTGCCCAGCCCACAGCCATTCAACTCTCGTTCATTCGTTCTACAATAAGTAATTGCTTGGCTTTGTAGTAGGCACAAAGACAGATGATACACCACCTTCCGGGGTGGCATAGACTGTTAAGCCTTGAGGTCAAGCCATCCCCGCTCCACTCTCTGCTAGGTAACCCTTGATCACCTAGGCCAAGCCTTCTGAGCCAGTCTTGCTTGTCTGCTTGCTTTCCCCCAATCTCACTGCCAGGAGGTTCTCATGAACAACCTTGCACATCCACTGCAGCTTTTGGGGAATTCATGCTGACTTCCTCCAGGTCTTGGGACCCTTCCTTCGCCTCTTCTTAGGTCTTGAAACCACTCACCCGAGCCTGTTACTAGCTGTGTTGTTCCCTAAGGATGGACTTCCGGACATAGCCATGTCCAGCCCTCTGTGGAACAAGGTTCCAAAGACTGTCTCCTTCAGCAAAAGAGTGGAGAAGAGATGCTACCAGCCAGAGGACAGTATTTCAGAGGCCACCCTGAGAGGATCACCTTCCCACGAGGAGGCCCCAAAGCAGAGCTTGTCCAAGGGCAGCACGACTCCAAGGAATGTTTGTGCCTGGCAGAGCCTCCCCAGAGTCAGGGGGAGGCAACAACCTAGGTGGGAACAGCAGTCCCCAGAAGCAAGCTGGAGCCACCCCCAACATCCCAATTCAGGTAGACCAGTTTTCCCTGGTGTTGGTCATGGACAACCCCTCCATAGGGCCTCCTGTTTCCACCAAGACATACTCCAGCACCTCAATATCTTAGTGAGCATGAGCCACCAGTTCCAGGCTTCGCTGTGGCCCCCAGGCCAAGAGCCCCTACTCCCATCTTCTGCAGTATCTGCAGTTCCAGACCCCCATGGGCCAATCCCAGACCCTTCTGTGGGCCCTGTGGATGGAACTGGTTCTGAGTGTCGCTGGCCAGAAAGGCCTGACCCTTCGGATCCATCAGAACAGTAGTGTTCGTTCCCTTACCAGTGCTGAATGAGAGAGAGGTGAGTCAGCCCCCCTTCCTCCTGCCCAGTTTGTATCTGCTCTGCAACCTGTTTGATGTTGATTTTTGGTTCTATAAAAACTTGGCAAAATAAAAATGGTGTCTGATGGTTGTGTAGGAGCATCTCTAGTCCCATCCAGGTGTGGCTTGAAGTATCTTTGAAAATGTATATATTTTTTTTACCACAAAGGCATGACCTCCCCCATGGCTGATCAGGGGTCCTGAACCATCATCAGTTTGTCCCAGGACAAAGGTTTTGCTATGTGGCTTCTGGAGGCATTTAAAAAATACTCTGAGTCAGGTGTGGGTGTGCACACATTTAATCCCAGTACTCTGGAGGCAGGGACAGGTAGAGAGATCTCTTGAGTTGGAGTCCAGATTGTTCTACATAGCGAGTTCCAGGCCAGCCCGAGTTCCGGGCCAGCCCGAGTTCCACAGTGAGATCCTGTCAGTGCTGGCTATTTTATTTTGTTCATTTTTGGTTTTTGGAGACAAGGTTTCTCTGTGTAATCCTGGTCCCCTGGAAACTTGCTCTGTAGACCAGGTTGGTCTTGAACTCAGGGATCCACCTGACTCTGTCTCCTGAGTGCTGGGGTTAAAGGTGTACACCACCACCGCCCAGCCCTTGATGTCTATTCTTGCCTGTCAGCTTGATCACATCTGGAATTAACTAAAATCCAAATGGCTGAGCACACCTTGTAAGGATTTTTTTTTATTATTAATTAAATCATTTGAAGTGGGAAGACTCACTTCTAATCCGGATCTTTGAGGTAGAAAGTCCACCTTTAATCTGGGCCACACCTTCAGCCTGTGTAAAGGATGTGGAAGAAGGAAGTTTGCTTTCTGCCTGCTTGCTTTCACTAGTGAGTTCAGTCCTTCACTGGCATTAGAGCCTACTTCTTAGGGATTTGGCGTACACTGAAGACCAGCTGAGACATCCCCTCGCCTTGTAGAATGAGCAACGACTGGATTCTTGGACTCTGCATTGGTAGGCAGCTGTTGTTAGACTAGCTGGGCCTCAGCTTGGAAGCCGTTCTAATAAGTGTATTATGTGTGTGTGTGTGTGTGTGTGTGTGTGTGTGTATAATTCTACAAGTTCTGTACCCCTAGAGAACCCTAGCTAAAACACCGTCTCAAAAAAAAAATTCCGAATTAAGGGAAAGAGTCAGTGTTGGGAGAGAAGACAGACTGGGGTTAGAGGAGAAACCGACAGACAGAGGGTCCAAGGAGGTAGAGGTGTTTGTTAGGAAAATGAAAGCAGTGGCTTTGTTCTGTTCATTTAGTTGCGAGCGTATCCGTGAGTCAAGGAGGTCAGAGCAGAGCTTTGGCGTCCTCCTCTCTCCCTGTCCTCTCTTTGACACAGGATCTCTCCCTGAACCAGAAGCTCACCATTTTGACTAGGTTACCAGCGAGCTTTGCAAATTAGCTAGCGCTGTCCCCCTCCCTCTAATGCTAGGGTTAATAGGCTCTGAGCCATCTGGGCCTTCTCTCCAGCTCCAGGAGTGATTTTAACATTTCTGATGTTAATTTTTCTCTTGGGATAAGTCGAGGGATGGCACACAATACCACCTTTTTCCCTACATGTCCGTGTCCACGTACATTGGCGAGGGCCTCTCGGTACAGGCATGTGTCTACAGGTCTCTGTGTGGGTCTCTGTTAAAGGGGACTGCTTTCTGCAGGTCCTGCCAACTTCCAGAGGCAGCCAGGGTCTAGGCCTGAGAAGACAGTCAAACCTGGTGAGGTGGTATTGCGGCTTGACTGCCGCCTTGCCTTGTATCCGGAGTGAGCTTCTCATAGCAGCTGTGATCTGGGGACTGACTTGGGAACTAGCTGCCCCAGGCTGATTCACCCAGGACACCGCCCTTCGCTGCAGCATACGAAGCATGCCTCATTCGGGTGCCTGCTGGGTTGGAAAGGGAGAGGAGTTGATTAATCAGAGGCGCCCCTCTTTCTACCCCAAGAGCTCTGCGACTGCCCTACCCCCAGCCGACAGCAGAGGGGGCCCTCTGCCTTGGGATGGAGGTCGGGGCTGGCAGGACCGAAGCTGAGCTGGGGGGGGGGGGAGAAAAATGGGAGGAGGAGTTGGAAGCGGGGGTGGTGGGCGAGGGTAAATTGTAAGTGGGAGCAGGGAGAAGGTTCTGGATAGGTGAACCAGGGAAAGGAACGGGGCTCTTGAGGGAACTCCTCTGGCTCAGAGGGCACGGGAATGCCGCAGCCTCAGCACTAAATGCAAATTTTGTCAATTACTATGCAAACCTGCAGCTCCTCTTGGAGCCTGCAACTTGGGTGGCTTTCCTAACGCAGCGGGGTTGGGGACACCGCGGCGCACACCTCCCACTGGCCGCAGCTTTCTCTTCGGGAGACAGGAGAGGCATCGGAGAAGAGCTAGCCTTTGCCCTCCGCAGGGGCCTGCATTTAGAGCTTCAGTTTGCCCTTCACTAGGTGGGGGTGCCAACGCGGCCTTCTGATAACTTGCCCCCGGGAAGCGGGATATAGATAGATAGATAGACAGACAGACAGACGGACGGACCCCGAAACTCTGTATCCTGCCTCGGGATGGGGGCTGGACACATGACCCCCATCCACCTCCTGCTCCTAGTTCACAAGCTCTTTGCTTATCGCTTGACAGGGACCAGGAACGCAGCTTGGTATGACGTTGCTAGGGGGTGTGATCGGCGGTTGCTAGGTTCTAGGAATGTTGCTATGCAACGCCGGGCGGGGCCCTAGTTGCTAGGCCGAGAAGGAGTCGCCTGCTGTCCAAAGGGTTTTAGCGGACACCGCCCGCCCCCAACCAGGACCAGCGTTGGCACCCCCAGGCTGGGCGCAGTCTCCGGGGTTCCTTCCGGTTCACACCCTCTGTTACTCCGTGATCCTCTGGGCTCCAGAGCGAGGAACCCTGGGTCTTTGTACACGTGTCTGTGCGCCTGCTTGTGGGGGGTGGGGGGGGGGGGAGAGTGTCTCTTTTGAATTTCCATAGCAACTGCTCCCGTGTCACCCTATTACTCCCAAAGGTTTAAGCAGTTGCGTGTGCAAATTTACATATATCTGCATGTCATTAACATAGAGGCAGAGCCGGAACTTGTTTGGGCAACTATCCCTGGACAGTTCCCTTCGTTTTCCTTTCATCCCGTCGGATGGCCACCTGGACTGCGCATGCGTGAGTGGTTTGTGGGTGTTTCTTTTTTGTGTGTGTGTCTCCGTGTTCTCGGATTTGAGGTGGGTGGGAGACTTCTGACCATCAGCTCTGGTCCACTCATGCCCTTACCGAAACGGAAGACTCAGTTCCCTGAGACTTGTTGGACCCCAGTTCTGCCTTTCTTAGCTGTGTCATCTTAGGTTGGTGCCCTTCTCTGTGACTCAGTTTCCTTGTCTGTAAATAGGCATACTAATCTCTAACTCACTAGGTTATGCGAAGGTTCGTGGTATGCCAATGCCACTTTGGCACATACTCGCTGATGTTCTGGGTGGACAGTAGGCAGAGTATGGTTGCTCCCCGCCTCCCTCTTTAGAACCCAGTTCCATCTACTCAGAACCCAGCGAAAGCAATGGAACTTCCTTTTCAGCTCCAGACCTGGCAGGAAGAACTTCCATATGTCAGGGCAGACTGGATTCCAGGCATGGGATGAGAGCTATTGGCCAAGTCAGGTTGGTGCACCATGGACCCTGGCCTCCCACTCCGCTCTTGCTCTCAAGGAGTTTCCTGAGTCAGGAGCCCTTGTATTCCTGCAGCAGCAGCTGACTGGGAAACGGAGAGGCCTGTGATGGGGTAGAGGGAAGGAGAGCAGAAACTTTGTTCAGAGAGTTGCATGTCTGAGCTTTCACCGGAGAGGACTGAAGAACTCTGGGGTAACTCCCTTGTCCTTCTTGGACCTCAGTTTCCCCACTGAGGACACTTGGGAATCTCTGCTACAACACAGCCGGGACAGGGGAGAATGAAGAGCCGTTTTGCTCTGCAGCAGCAGTGCAGGGAGTGAGTTCCCCATTCTTGGGACTATGCAAGCAGAAGTGTGGCTGGGATGGAACAGAACTTCCTGGAAGCTGCCTCCTTGAAAGGTGGGGAGTCCTTACTGGGTCTGGTTTCTGCTCTTTGTATTCTGGGAGAAGCTCTCTTTCTTGCCTTTCTGTCTCCCAGTGTTCTTCTAACCTTAACAGCCTTGACCGCTAGAGGCACGAGGAGGCAGAAGGGGGCATTAAAGGGCAAAATCCAGTTCCATTCTGTGCTGGGGATAACTCTCATTAGGCTTAATTAAAATAAATGGGATTGCTTCCTGTCTTGGGTGGAAGAATATGCTTGTTGGTGATGGAGAAAGGCATAGGAGCTTGACTCTGATTGGTCAGTTGGCTTCTGGGAGGAGGAGGGACTACATGGGGACAGTACTTTGTAGTTGTCATTCTGACTGCTGTATACAGGACTACACTCTGCTGGCGGAACGCCGGCCCTTTCCCTGTAGCCAGCACCTGTGCCCCACAGGTGAGAGTTCCAGGGACAGGCTGAGAGCCTGGCAATGCCCGGCTGGCCCGCCTGTGTCCCACTCTAGGGGCCAATTAAGTCGCTATCCCTAGCCGCGCCGATTAACAGTTAATAAGGCAGCAAACACCTGCAGCTATGGAGGCGAATTAAGAGCAACAGTCGGCATAATACACAACCCGATAAGTGAGCAATTAACAACCGGAGAAAGATTAATAGAAGCAATTATGTCCTACTCGGAGCTCTGTAAATACGACTGTCAACCGCTGGAGAATTCAGGCCAGTTTCACCTGGCCCCACCCCGGCCATAGCCTCCGGTAGTGGAGGCACTTGAGCTAGCCTGTAGAGGCTGGACGACAGAGCCATTGACAGAAGGGGCATGCCCAGATATGTACACATTGGCATATACATCCCGGCGCACAGAGAGATGGCCCACAAGACATAGTTACACAGACTTACACTCACACAGATGGATAGACACAGGCACATAGAAGCCCT